CCGCCGCCGCCGCCGCCGCCGCCGCCGCCGCCGCCGCCACCACCCGGCAATAATAATTCTTAATAACAAATTATAGCAGGATAATTAATGTAATAATTCTTAATAACAAATTACAGCAGGATCTTATGAAAGCATTTTTTTTTCAATCAAGGTTCCCTCCTTTCAGATAATTCTAGTTCATGTGTCAAGTTGACATAAGACTGGCCAGCACAAGAAGCTTGAGGAAGTTGGTAACATTGCATTCTTAGTCAAGAAACAGAAAGCAATGAATGCTTGTGCTTAGCTAGTGTTCTTTTCATACAGTCTAAGCCCTTAGCATAGGGAATGGTGCCACTGACTGTTAGTGTATGTCTTCCTCAATTGATTTAGTCAATGTAATCCCCAGAGGCTGGAGAATTCCTCACAGATGTGCCTTGAAGGATTGTCTCTTAGGTGATTCCAGATCCTGTCAAGTTGACAACGCTAACCACCATGAGCCTTCGAGGTTAATTTCCTAAGCACTGTTCCAATTAGGCATATATGAGACAGGATTAACAAGAGATTTTGCTGGCAGATAGTAAAGACAGCAAACTTCTCAAGATCAATCTATAATAGATGTTACCAACTTGACACTGATATCAAGTCAAAATCTTCTAAATAAAATTGTGGGGATAAGATTGAATATAGCATATCACTTTCTGTATGTGACAGTGGCAAAGAAGCCAATGAACATCAAATGCAAAAGTGAATTGAATGTATAGTGAATAAAGCAAACCAAGAAAGAGTATGCAAGAGATTCTGTGAATTTTAGAAACAAATGAAGCTCATGGCAAGAGACAGCAAGGATGCAGAAGTATGTCTAGAAATGTAGCAAAAACAGAGTGCCAAACTGTAATCATGATCTCACACAAATGAAAATTTCATATTAGTTGTCTCACCATGAACAAAAAAAAAGAGAAAAAAAATCTTGCTATAATTTCTTAGGTTATAGGATAAAAAAGCCTTCAGTCCTCTGTTCAGAATTGTCTAACACACAAATTCTAACATGTTGAAAGTATATATTTGATCTGTAATCATTATTTTTAATGAATAGACTAAAAACAACACCTCTAATTTTTATTGTCCCTGAATGTGTAGAATTGAGCATGAAAATAAAGTATTCTTGTCTTTCCCACTTACAAGAGAGCTGAGAAACCATGGAAAGAAAATGCTCAGGTTACAAACAATTGTCCCAGTGAAATAGCCGGTCTCACCTAAAATTACATTTGTCTTCTTAGTCGTCAATGGAAATACTAACCACAGCTTTAAAACTGGCTTTAAGATATTAACTGATGCCTCTCGCCAAGAAAAATTTGCCTGCTCTCTCAACTAACTTTTGTAGATTTTTCTTCCCAACCTTACCAATATTTTCTGTGCCTATATTTATGGAAGATGTCACTTGTACTTCACAAGAGTTTCAATGTAATCATGTCCTAACCTTTGTTGTACACATGCAATTAATTGCCATTGGGAAACTTTTTCCAAATGGTTGTGCTTAAGTATACTTAAAATATACTGCCTGGTGTCAGACTCTCAAAGTTTGAACTAGTGCCAGCTACTGAGTCATGTTGAACAGAATTTCTTTCTTGCCTCACACGGATTGACACTTGTTGGTCATAGTGGGTGCAGATGCTTTGGGTGCAGGAAAGATTTGGGGCTTGCTTCTAACCAATAACACATAGTGGTGACAGGATGTATATAAAAATTTGTTCAAGTCATATGTGATTACCTTAATACCTTATATGGTAGTCATCTTTAACAGATCCCTCTGATATTGAATTGACTATGAAGAAGTAATTGACAATGTTGGTAAACATATGTAGTGAAGATCTGTTAATGCCATACATAGAAGATGGCCAACGACATGGAAAACACATGAAGCTATCCTTCCTGGTTGAAAGGATATGAATGTAGCAAACAACCATGTGGGTGAGAAAGGAGATCTTTAACCAGTACAGCTTCCAGATGAAGAGCCTGTCCTGTCTGGCAATGATCACAACCTTGACTAAGTGTGCCTGACATCCTGGCACAGACGCTATGAAAACAGGTAAAAGAGTGTTGCTGTAAGCAGCTAGTCTTGTGGAAATTTGCTACACAAAAGGAGGAAGTTATTATTGGTGTGTGAAGGGTAAAAAATGTTTTTTTATTTGTCTCACTTGTACTTTGCTTTTCTAGTCTCCTGGTATTTTTATCTTCTTTATTGGCTTTTTCAACTATATTCTCTTAATCTTAAGGTCTTCTTTAGAAACTGTATTCATGTACTTTTAACTTACCAAAGTCTATATTTAAGTTATTAACACTTCAAGAATAGAGCAACAAACTTACAGCAGTACACACTTCTACTTCTTCCCTTTACATATCTTCACTATTTGTGATTTTACTTTTAGATGCTATAAATTCCTCATTATTTTTGCTTAAATAGTACTTATCTTCTAAAGAAAAAAACAAAACATACCTATCCAAGCAGTTGCCATTTTGGTGCTTTGTGTGGCTGTTTTTTTTTTTTTTTTTTTTTTTTTTTGCTTTTTTTTTTTTTTTTTTTTTTATACTTTTGAGCTTTGTTCTACACTGCAATTAAGTTGCTTGGAAACAGTTTCATATCTTTGCCTCTTCTAAGGTCTGTTTCTCTAAACTAGATCAGCACTCAGACTTGAAGCAATAATTCTAAACTATTACAACTATTATTCCACACGCTGTGATAACATTCTGTCCCCCTAATCTCAGTCAATCATGCATTTTTACATTCTGGTAGATAAACAATGTTACTGTAAACTCTCAAGTAGGTTAATCTTTAACTAAAGAATGCCTCCTCATATATACACTAAATATGGCTCCCTGTCTAGCAAACTCTCCTTTAGTAACTACCTGTGGTCTAGATATCTCTGTACTGAAAACTGTTATTCTTTAAGTTGAATGATGCAAAAGGCTCTTCCTGGATGTCCCCACACACACACCTTGTGGACATACTCAAGGTGAATAATGCAACAGGCTCTTCCTGGATCCCCCACCTTGTGGACATACTCAAAGTGATAGGACAGGACTTAGACGAGTTGTCTCACTTGTTCCTGTCTCTCAGAGATCACCAAACTTTGTTCTGATTCTGATTCTACTTACCTGAAAATTATGGTTTGATTTATGTTGTCTGTTGATGATTTGAGGCAGAAGGGCAACATGGTCACTCTATTTAGTCTCCAGGTATAATTCTTGAACAATTTCTTATGCAAAAGGAAGGCCAACTTAACTAAATTAAGAGCACCAAAAATAGAGAAAAGAACTAGACACTTCTCAAGAACAGACTGAGGCTCTAATACAGTAACATATGCCCAGTTTAATTTCAGACTCACTAGAGAATATAGACTGAACATTTCTCCTGACTGTCTTCTTTCCTTTTCAATGACGATGCCTACAGCATTAACAGATGCTACTCTCACTGCTGTAGTTTTTTTTTTTTTTAAACAGGAAAGACATATAAATTTGAAGGCAGAGCAAATTGCAATGAAATAAAAGTGGCCATACATTATTTCACATTTCTTCAATCAAAGGCAAGACTACAACACCCACTCACCCACTCACTCACTCACTATTTTGTTTGCTTGTTTGTTTGTTTGGCTTGGTTTTGGTTTTTTAAGACTAGATCTCCCTAAATAGTCTGACCTGTGACTACATAGACCAGGCTGGCCTTGAATTAACAGAGACATGCCTGCCTGCCTCCCAAGTGTTGGGATTAAAGACTTACACTTTCATGCTCAGCCCCATCCCTCTTCTTAAATGTAGGTAGGCTCTAAGCCATGTTTGACAAACATAATACAGAAATATCAAGTTGTACTAGTATCTGGGCTCTGCCTTGGGAACTGGCACATCCTACTTGTTAAGTTTTCCTTTGAAATAGTTGCTCTGGGGGAGTTTTAAGGAAGAGAAAAAAATCTAACTATTCTGAAGATAGCATTTATAGAGAAAATGATACCAAAATATTCCCTGCTGCTGTTCCCCAGCCCAGACACTAGGTACATAAGTGACAAAGCCACATAGAACATTAGCATTTGCAGTATAAAGAACAAAAGCCTCAAGAAACAACTCCAGTCATCTCCAGATGTTTGAGCCACTTTAGCCGAGGACCCAGACATCATAAAGGCAAATCATCGAAAGCTCCAACCATACGGTACAAGATAATAGTCATTATTACAAGCCACTGAGGTTTTGAGAAATTGTGCATTAAGACGTAACTGGCTGGGCAGTAGTGGCACACGCCTTTAATCCCAGCACTCAGGAGGCAGAGGCAGAAGGATCTCTGCGAGTTCGAGGACAGCCTGGGCTACAGTGAGTTCTAGGGAAGGCGCAAAGACAGAGAAACCCTGTCTCGAAAAACAAAAAGCAACAACAAAACAAAACAAAACAAAACAAAACAAGAAGTAACTGGAACCAGGACAAAGAGTACATTGGGATATACCTGCTACAGATTCTGTAGAATGTAAAGCAGGAGTATTCATATTTTTGAACTATCAACATGAATTAGCACTTTATAAACAAATGTTTTAACTCACTGATTATAAAAATGAAAGTTTTAGATTTGTTTAAGATTTGAGACAAAGCCAATAGTTTGAAAACATATAATACTGTCACACCTGTTTACTATATAAACACACATATACACTTAGATGTAATTTATAAGTACTGAAAATTAAAACCATTAAGTGTTATCATTATTTGTGAAATTTTAGAAGAACAAAAACAGTTGCCTTTTTTAACATACAAGGAACATACATTGGAACAGTGACAACCTGACTTTAAAATAAATGTATCACAAGTTACTCTGGAACATACTTCACAGTGATTCTAGGCACTAACATTTTATAATAAAATACTACAGTTTGAATTTTTAAAAAAGTCTTATTATAACACACATTTTATAAATACAAGGTTTTCTCAAGATCAAATGTTGAGAACAATAAAAGTTAAATACCTTTAATCAAGTAGGAACAAGAGAACATTCCCTGAATACTTACATTATTGAACATTTGTGACAACATTAAGACCCCAACACAGTGATTTGGCTACAGATTTTAACTTTACATGAACCCCAAACAACTGAAAATTGTGCTCTTTAGAAAAATTGCTTTTAAAATTACCAAAATTCAGACTACTTAAAGGTCCAAAATAAAAACAAGTTTGAGTTTATGTATATTTTCATTATCATTTAGTTTTTAATCCTTTTCTTTAACAAAGATAATACAGAGTGATACTATATGCTACTAGTAGAAAAAGAAAAAAAAGAACTCTTCCATAAAACTAAGAAAATAAATTTCACTTAGTACTGAATACATCTGGTTTTATATAAAAAGCAAAATAGAAGCTAGGCGACAGACTCTACATGGAAGCAGACTCACTTTCCCCTGGAGTCCTTTTCTAGAGTAACCAAATAATTTGGAATAGCCAGAAGTAGATACAGAAAGGAATGTGAACCAATTATCCTGATATACCTGCTCTTATTCCACAATCACCAAACTAAGTCTCCAGGAGCCATAAGGAAGAAAACAACTTGACTAGGTGTCAGTGACTAGAGTGGCCAGCTGCTGCTCCCTTCCCTAGGGGCCAAGGCAAAGTTGCTTATAAATATAATAAACATAAACTGAGTGGGCTCAGCAGAGGAAATGACACATGCAGGATACACTTAAGAGCTTTTACTTTTGGTGACATCAAATGGTTTCCACCACTGAGCAAACTGCAACACTTTCTTCCTTTGGTCCTCAAAGCTTTCTCCAATGCCCTTCCTCCACAGCCTGGGCTCTAGATCCAGCATACCACCAATGATTTCCTTTTAAAGAGTAAGAAAAATATGAATATATACATGTATAAACAATGTAATCAAGAAGGAAACTACTCATTTATTTTGCTATTAAATATAATATTAAATAATTCTTTGTGACAATGTATACATACTACATATTAGTTTCAAGCAAAATAAACCTTATTTCCAATCTTAATTTCAAACTCTCTGATCCTCAGAGTCCTTGTGATGTCTCTGGTGAAGTAATTTGTCTGCTTGGTTGCTCATTAGTATATCTATCTAATGGTAACAAAAGGGAGGAAGAAAATAAAATTTAATTTCCTTGCTCATAAATATAACTAATATGTCAACAGAGAGCTCATAAGAGAATATGGAGATGTGGTGAGAAGCAGAATAATAAAGTCTCAGCTATATAGTGGGAAAAGAGAGCTAGCAAAGACCATAAGACATTTAAAACAAATAAAAAATGTCCTACTTGTTGGATAAAACAGAAAAGGGAACCACCCGCCATTAAGAAAGTACTCTGTATATGATCTCAGGAGAAATTCAGATTTAGTGCAAGAATTTCCTGGCATCAGCCCATCTACAGTACAGTCCGAGAAAGGGTAGTTTATGTGTCTGTCTTAACTGTCTCTAGACCCCTGCATGCATTATGTGACAGTGCAAAACGGGTTCTCATTCTCTTACTGCACTGAGATCATTTTTCCATTGTTCTCTGAGTAATTTCTTGGGCAGCAAGTCAAAGGAGAATCCAAAGTATTTCCTAAAAAGCATACTCTGAGGCATGGGGAAACTGCCCATTCAATCTGAAAAATGTATTATATAAGAACAATGAATGAGTATTATTTGAAGGGAAGGCAATTCTCCCAATGAAAATTTAATAAGTAAATCAATGGGTTAGTGGTATCCTTTCCTCTAGAAACACATTTTTAAAACTATGAATCTAGAGCTAAAAATTAAAAATCTCTAGGGAACAACAACAGGATTTTTCAGAGCAGTGAAAACAAAGGTTTTGTTATTGTTATTGATTTGGTTACTTGTTGTTGGTAATTTTATAGAAAAAAATTCTGCAAACTTCTCAAACAAGGGTAGAGTGCACCTGACATGAATGAAGCTGTGGGTTTGATCCCCAAGGCTATATAAAAACAGGCCTGATGGTACACTCTTGGAAACCAACATCAGGAGGTGGCGGCAGGATGATCAGGAGCACAAGCACATATTCAGCTATGAGTTCAGACCAGCCTGAGCTATGTGAGAATCTATAAGCATTAATTCAAAAATCCATGTGACTTTGGAATCTGGGTACTCATTAAGGACAGCAGCATAGTGAGTTCTGGATCCAAACCATTGGAGCTCTGTTTCCTCTTGGCACATCCCAATTCATTGTAGAAGATTTTCTCATGCAGATAAGAGTAGGGTAGAGGGGCAAGCAGGGTGGACCATTAGGAACATTCAGCAGAGTTTATCAAGGCTCCTCTCTCTCTTGGTATAGGCACATAGAGGTCATACAAAAAGGCCTGAGCTAGGCCCAGATTCATTTTGCCAATTTCAAATGCTACATTAATTTCATTCCAGTTTCTGACAAGAATTTAGATACTTAGTAAACAGACCCCTAATTTAAGGAATATACTCTTAGGAAGGCTTTTTTTTTTTTTTCTTCCCTGAAAGAAACTACTGCCAATCAAATCACTGGGCCTTTCCTATATGCCCAGAACCTAGCTGTGTGCAATGAGTCATTTATTTTTCCTGGATTATACCTTAACTATAAATGAAGAGCTGAAACAATTTATTATCTGCATTAACCATGACCTGTGGTACCTGGGTTCTCTGATTTAGCACAAAACCCTAGACAAGTTACATAACCCCTCTGTCTGCAGTTTAGAGTTTTCTAATCTGTACAACAAATGTTAGAAGAAAATGTAGACAATAGAGTTACTGTGAGCACAAGATGACTGTTCTGACAGTAGACGGGCACACTGTAAGCCCTTAATAAACATTAGCAAGTGCCACAATTTTTTCAGGACAAAGCTGCCAGACTCCAAAGTCAGGACAACATTACAGTTACTGAGACTGAGCACACTGTCAAAAAGTCTGTTACACAATGATGTCTCTTACTCAATCATTAATATTCTGGTACATTTTTATTGTTACATCCTAACCCCATCCCTCTCTCAAACTTGTATGAAGAACAACTCACCAAATTCTTGTATACTGTGTAGAAACTTTTAATTTTCTTTTGCACCCTTGTGAAAGTATTAACCAAACCACTAAACTCCAGGGTTTTTATCAAATTTCTGAGTTTACCTTTCCAAAGTAACGAGGAAATTTGTGTTGATTTTCAATGACGTGGGCAAATCCTCCCTGAAGGCCAAAGTCTACAGCAAAGTAAGGCAAGCCTCTGGGCACCTAAGTAAACAAACAAATTGCACATGAAATAAGAAAGCTATGCTTTCTCCAATTCTCTGCCACAAGGGAACCAATCATCCTTCAGGAGAATGTACATGACAAACTTCCAATTACCTAACTTTCCAAGGAAAAGATTTCATTCTGACAGACTTTCAGCCAGACACATCTTCGTCAAGTCTAGCAATTCAATCAAAACAAATACTTTCCTATTCTTGGAGATAGTAGAAAAAAATTATTCAAATATTTTACAGAGTCAAGGAATAATTTTTCTATGATTACACAAATAAAAGTATGTTTTGTTCATATTTCACTTAGGAAGCGGGAGCTTGATCATATATTTGTGGCTTTGTTTACATATGCATAAAATTTTCACTATAATATTTATCAAATATAAATAAATTTATAATATTAATTTCTCTCAGTAACTAGTGAGATAAATAAAGCAATATTTAGTTTACCAAGTTAATTTCACAATACCTTGGGATCAGCTCTCTATTAGTCTTTTTTCCTTCCCTTTCCTTCCCCCCCCCCCACACACACAGGAGAAGGGGAGAAAGGCACGAGGGACAAGGAGACAAGGAAGAGTTTTAATCTCCATACTGATTGAAAAGAGCTATAATTTCTTGCTTTCTTATTGGGCAGATTTTGTATCTTTGTAAGTTTTTCCTCTAAGTTCCAACTTTTATCATTAGAAATTATCCATGTTTGTCAATATACAGTAAGTTTTCCCTCTAATACCACCACACAATCAGCACTGAGTTATCTGGACACTGACCCACATATTCCTACTTAAGAACACACAATTGGTATTGAGTACTTAGGAAGGCAGAATTTTAGAGTATGCAGTAACATATAGTAGGAACAGAGAAATCCTCTTTAATCATTATATCCAATAAAATTAGGGACAACAAAATGTTGCTCATTTAACAGGAAAAGCAATAATTAAAAAAAAACAGTCTATAAATATAAACATAAAATGTTGATTTATATTTTTTTAAAGTTATATATATATATATATTTTTTTTTTTTTTTGTTTTTTCGAAACAGGGTTTCTCTGCGTAGCTTTGCACCTTTCCTGGAGCTCACTTGGTAGCCCAGGCTGGCCTCGAACTCACAGAGCCTGGCTCTGCCTCCCGAGTGCTGGGATTAAAGGCGTGCACCACCACCGCCTGGCATATGTTTTTAAGATAATAGTCATGTATTGACAATCAAGAAAAAATAAAGTAAAAACGGACAGATAGGGCTTTAAGCACATGTCTGATTCTCATGAGTATGTAATGCCGTACAATTCTGTAACATTTGAGTCTCAGGAGAAACATGAAGCATTCTGTGGTTTGCTGGGAATATCCAAGAGAATGACATAAACACAAGTCCTCAGCTCTAATCTAACAGCATAGGAGACTGTTACTTTCTTTTTATTTTAGATTTTTTTTTTATTCATTTTACATACTAGCCACAGATCATCTCTCTCATCTCTTCTCCTGCTCCCCCCACCCCAGCCTTCCCCTCCATTCCCTCCTCCAAAAGGCTAAAGTCTCCTGAGTCAGGAAAGCCTGCTACATTCAGTTGAGGCAAGACCAAGCCCTTCCTGGAGACTGTTACTTTCATTTCTATCTCTACAAGAATGCTTTGTACAAAGCCGTCCAATGACAATAGAAAAGAAGGCTCTATTGGACACTGTGCCACCTAACTAGGTCACCAGGCATGCAGCATGTGATACTTTGAGAAGTAACTTGAAGAAATATATTCTTTCTCTTTCTTTGTATTACACTCTGGTAGGCAGAATAATGGGTCCTGAATATGTCAAAGCCCTGAGTATGCTACTTTACATGGCAAAAGGGACATTAAGGGTGTGAACAAGCTAGGAGTCTTATAATGAAATGGTGATGTTGGGTTATTCACATGAGATAAATGCAAGCACAAGAATAATTATAAGAAACAGGAGGCCTGAGTACTCAACCAACTCTGCACTTTGAAGGCAGAGGAAGGCCACAAGCCATACATACAAAAAGCTTCTATCAACTGAGATGATAAGAGTGTCCTCTCTTCTGTAGAACTGATGGCAAAAGCCTATAGTCAAAGCCACTCTGGAGGCTGAAGGAGGAAGGCTTCAAATTCAAGGACTTGGCTACAAACAGACTCAAAGCAGGCTTGGGAGACCAGTGAGCATGTACTTAAAAAGAAAAAGGAAACAAAACTAAGGCTGGGGATATGGCTCAGTGGGAATGCACTTGTTTTACATGCACAGAGCCCCAGGTTCAATGTCAGTCCAATTAAAAAACAAACAAACAAACAAACAAACAAACAAACACCTCTTCTTCAGAGTCTTCAGGAGACACCCAACAGAGCACATTTCATACTTAAGACATTCCGAACTGGAATGTGAGATTACTGTACAGCATTTTAAGCTACTGCCACTGCTGTACAGAAAACTAATATACTCAATGCCTCTGGGGTACTTGCAAGATGGAAAATGAAATCATAGCATTTATATAAATGACAATGACTTCTCCTTTATTCTGTTTTTCAGGCTCCAGCAGGTGGGGCCTGCAGTTCTGTTGTCATTAGCTATGACAAAGGCACCTGCATATTTGTCTTCACTAGCACTCTCCTTTTCCTGCCTTGTCTAGCATAAGGAAAACTGTTGGAACTCCAGTTCCACTCTTTAACAGTGTACACAGAAATAGAGTCTGAATTTCAAGTTCCGGAAGGCAACCAAGGGCAATGGCAACAGCCCGTATTTTTTTACGTTCTTGTATTCCTCTAATCACCAACTTGAGGGGAGGTTTCCCAAGCCTGGCACTGGGGTTTCTGTTAGATAGAGCACAGTTTATAAAACAGTGTGTTACCCTATGTCTTTTTCAAACAACCTTAATGTTATGTATCTCTCCTTCTTCTCCATTCCCCTGTATTATGGTTTGCTTCCTTCCTTATCCTCAGCTAAAAGTCCTCCATTCTTGCAATTACCCCTTTAATAGTACCTGCTTCCTACTATTCTCTTCTCTAGAGCTTTTCTCACATTGTACTTTACTGACTCCTTCAGATACTTCAGGTTATCTATTCAAATCTAAAGCTAGGACCCATACCTAAGAGAGAACAGGTAGCATTCAGGACTTGGAGTAACTGAGCTAGACCTGAACTGAAAGCCTCCTCCCAGAGGACTAGTTTTCATACTGTGGGAAAGGATTATGTAAGGTGCCAAAGGAGAGGTACAATCTGTACTCCTACCAAGCTGTAACACCTATGAACTCTAACAATGATGGGACTGGCAAAATATTCTCAATGGTTTAAGAGTGGCTCTATCTTGAAGGTAGGCAAAGTTGTCTAATTGGATTTAAGGGCAAGTTAATAGTAGGAAATTCATGCTTGGCTCTATAAATCTAGTCAACTACTTATGGCTAGAGAGGTCATAGACATGAAAGGAGAACCTACTACTGCCATTTTTCTAACCCACTGTAATGTCTGTGTTCAAAATATTTATACTCACAGATAAGTATACCTGTCAGCCCTCCTCAAAGAAACTTCTTTTTATAACTAGGACTATTACAGAGATCTACAACGGGTCAAAATGCAGAGAAATAAGGAAGGGTCTGTGGTTGCTCAATTTCAACTGATATATCTGCAATGCAACCCCTACACGTAAGGCTCCGGGGAAAAAATCACTGGAGAGGGAGCACAAAAAAACAAAAACTGTTTTAAGAGGCAGAGGTCCAGGATGGCCTGTTGCTATGTAGGGTCTACTAGGCATGGCCGAGAAAATGAATGCAAATAATCTCAACAATATGGTTACCTGAACAATGTGGTGATATATTGTTTGTAATCTAAGTAATAAAACTTGCCTGAAGATCAAAGAACAGAGCCAGCCAGAGTTAGCCACAGAGGTCAGGGAGTGGTGGCACACACCTTTAATCCTAGCACTTGGGAGGCAGAGGCAGAGATCCATGTGGATTTTTGTGAGTTCAAGTACACACTGGACTACATGAGATTAATCTAGTCTAAAAGAGAAAGAAAGCCAGGCAGTGGTGGCACACACTTTTAATTCCAGCACTTGGGATCATACACTTTTAAACCAAGCACTAGGAAGGTTGAAACAGGAAGTGAATGGCTGGGCAGAGAAAGGAATATAAGGAGGGAAGAGACAGGAACTGGCTCTGGCAGGCTGAGGAGCTGGTGAAGTAAGAGGTGATGGCTATGAATTGCTCTGCTTTTCTAATCCTTCAGCTTTCACCCTGACATCTGGCTCTGGGTTTTTATTATAAGACCATTTAGGATTCATGCTACAGAACAAGAACAGCATATTGACAAGGCATGCCAACATAGATGGGGAAAATCATGCCAGGCCCCAATGGGGATAAAGAGTTACAAATGATCAATGGCCGGTAAGAGTGAAACTTAATTTCCTCCAGGAACAAGCTCTCATGGAGCATATCAAATCCCAAGTGGTCAGCCCTAAACATACTACATAACAATTAAAAACCACATTATGAACTGGACAGGGGAGGGATGCACACAGAAACTGTAGAGTGTTGTGTAGATCGATAGCAAAACTGTGAAAACTGCCTGGCTTTTCAGTCTGAATTTCTCCCTCTGATTTCAACAGTAATGCCTAACTTCCTCTAAGTATCTACACTTCTAGTTAACTCAAATTTCCCTTGAAAAAAAGTTTTTTTTATTAAAAAGCAATTATCTCCAAATATTGACTGCTACATTTCCCACAAAATTCATATTAATTTTTTTAACTGATCAAGAACTTTCCTGAAATTTCAATGCAACAGCTTTGCTTTTTTTTCAGTGCCCATTTTTTTAGACAGATTCTTTGTAATAACATGATTCCTCTACACTCAGCACTCAGATCTGTTTATAACATTTATTTTCTTAACCCTAACCCTAGGCTTGATATCACTCTCCAAGGAATCTAAAGACCCTAGAAATAGTATACTTATATTCACAATATATATTGCCATGTATACACACACACACACACACACACACACACACAC